AAAGCTGCAAGCAATAAATATTGTTTCTTTATAAATTGCCCAGTTTTGGGTATTTCTGTTATAAGCAACAGAAGTGGATTGATACACCCACTGATCAAAAGTTAGAGGCTCAGATTACATTTTTCACACTAAAAAATATGTGGTCCACAAGAGGCATTTAAACAAAACAACATAGAAAGTATGAAAAGCCATAAGTCAAAGAGGGATATTATATACTGGTAAAAGGACAACAGATCAAGAAGTATAATAAATCATAGCATGCGTGCATCAAACACATCGTAAAATATATTAAGCACCGATTGATACAACTACAGAGAGACCAGAAAAATTAAATATTTTAGCTAATCAAGCAGAAAAATAAGCAAAGATACAGACACTCTGAATGACACAACTGATAAGTTTGTTTTAATGCATATACCTAGAACCAGGCACTCAATCATTAGAGAAAATACGTTCTTTTAGAACATGCATAAATCATTCAGAAACCAACCATAACCTAGAGCGTAGAGAAACTCTCAATAGATCTGCAGGAGTTAGCATCATACAGACTATGTTCTCTGATGATAATGGAATAAAATTAGGAATAATAACAAAAGAGCTTAAAACCCCCCAAATCTTCACATGTCTGGAAACATATCAGTGATACTGCTAAATAACCTTTGTATTAAAGAGGAAATCATAAAGTACTTACTAAATACCTAGAGCTAAATTACAATAAAAGCACTACATGTAAAAATCTGTAAGGAGAAAACCTAGGTGACTTTGGGTGTGAACTGACTGTTTAGATACAACACCAAAGGCACAATCCATGAAAGAAATAATTGATAAGCTGGACTTCATTAAAATTAAAAATTTCTGCTCTGCGAAAGACAATGTCAAGAGAATGAGAAGACAAGTCACAGATTAGGAGAAAATATTTGCAAAAGACACATTAGATAAAGGACTGTTATCCCAAATACGCAAAGAACTCTTAAAACTAAACAATAAGAAAGTAAGCAACCCAATTAAAAAATAGGCCAAAGACACCTCACCAAACAAGATATACAGATGGCAAATAAACATATGAAAGGATGCTCCACATCNTTAATAAAGCTTATTACTTAGCTTAATAAAGCTAAGGGGTTAAAAGCAACAGAAAAAACCCAAAGAAACAAAAAGACAGAAAAATCTTAAAGGGGGCAAAAACCAATAAGGAAGAAAGTAAAAAGACATTTCAAATGATCAAAAATTAAAAATACTTGTGCTTTGAAAAAAATGAGACAAATCTCTGACAAATCTGATTAAGAAAAATAAAGAGAAGACAGAAATAAAACACAGAAGGAAAAAAGGAGAAATAACTATAGAAAAAAGACATTTAAGACATAA